GTCCTTGTAACGTTAAAAGAAGTTCTGCGCTCCCTGTCTAATATACAGTATAATGTGATCTGGCTCAGCATCTTGCATTTGAAACACAGCCATATTTCAGCAGTGCGTAGGTTGGAACTTTAAACTGCTTTTTCTTCTTCTCAAGCTGTGATGTAAACCCCAGAGCTCAGCTCTATATGTTGTCAGAAAACGCCAAACACACTGCTCACAGGCGGGTGAATGATTTGCTGAGCCTCCATAAAAGAAAACTGGACTTCATCACTGCACTTAAGCATTTGATTGAGCTGAGGAGAGGTACTGTACTGTAGCTGCTCAGAAAGTTTTGCATCTTCTTTTCCAGCATGAGTCTCCGACAGAATTTCTGTCTAGAGCTTTTGGCTGCTTCTGCAATAAATCTCCAGGCCGCAAAGGAAGGCTACATCTGTAGACCAGATTAAAAAAAAGAGGGGAAGTGTACTGCAAAATATAATGAATCAGTACTTAAATATTTGGCATGGAGATGTACCCAAAATAGTGCTTTATGTACAGTATGTGTCACAAATTGTCATTCATTTAAGGGCAGCATATCTTAGTTTGCGTCTCAGTTTCACCATTTTCTGGGTGTGTCTGGGTAGATGTTCTAGAAGACTTAAGAAATGTTTCAGCACATGATTTTAATCATCATAATACTACATGTTGTATGCTCCAGTCTGTTTTGTTAGTCATCTTACACCTCTCACTACACACAAGACATGGTTAATTTAGTTATGCGTTTTTAGTCACTGCTATGGAGCGTGCTAATTTAGCTGGATTTTGCTTTTGTTCTAGTCACAGATGTAGATATTGGCTTGCTTTATTGTAAAGGTGTTGTGTGGTGCAGTAAAGAGGGGCTCTTTAATGGGAAGGTGATGGCTTCAAATCCCAGGTGTCAGTTCTGCTGGTATACATTTTAGCAAGGTCCTTTTCAGATATTACTCACATATACAACATGGTTGTATAAACAGCAACCATAGCTTGAATGGTCTGTTTAAAAAGAAAGATAATTGAACAATATGCCATCAGCTATACTGAGGAGAATTATCCATCCATCCCTTTTCAATCCTAGTCTGGTGGAAACTGCAGTGTTAGAATGTCGAGCAGGAGCTCCCTCAGCTACAGATTCCAGCTCATCTTGGGAGGCTCAATTTGTTTCCCAGTTCCATCCAGCCATTTTCTAAAGTCTTTATCCAATATAGGGCCATGGGACAGATGGAGCCTATAAGGCTAAGGCAGGATACACCCTGGACAGGATGCCAGTCCGTCGCAGGGCACCCAGAGAAAATCCACACAGACACGGAGGCAATTTCACGCACCTGAGGGCCCCAGTGCTGTGAGGCAGTAATGCCAACCACTGTTTCATCATGCTGTTATGAAGAGGTTTACTGATAGTTTTAATGAGACAATAGATAGTCTTAATACAATATGTCCGTCACTCACTAATGAGTATATTTAATCACATTTAATAAATTAGTGCAACAAAACTTGAAGAGTGAAAATACATAGTTCTGCAGCTACATTTCTTATTGCCCTCAAATTATTCTCCTCCACGAAGACCATATTTTTTTCTTCAAAATATTTGATTGCCATTAGAAGTGTTTTTTTTCACAACGTGTCACAACGATAGATCTTGAGATCGACTGAATTCATTTATTTTGTCCCTTCAGTTCTTTAAAAACTTTCAAATCACAGCTTGTTCCTAGCAGATGTGATTCTGGCTGTTTAAGCAAAGCCCTCTTTGGTAGCTGCTGTATTTGCAGCTGTCAGCTTTGTTAATAATAGATTTCTAAAATGACAAGGAAGCCACAACAGAAACAAATTATACTTAAACTGTCATTATTATGACATTACTGCCAGAAAGAAACCAATGGGCACCTTATGATCATCTATTAGATACAATATGACTATTTTTTTCATGAGTCTGATTAAATTCTGGAATGAGCATTATTAATATAAATGCATGCAGAAATTAATAATAAACGCCATAATATACACCATTTTTGATATTGTTTTAAAAACTACATAACTATGTAAACACCTCATGCATGCAGTAATTCACTAGAAACCAGTCACTGATTTGTAACAGCTATTATAGACACCAAGCTTTAATTATTGTAGATATGTAGTGTTATGCTCACTGAGCTTGTTTGCAGTTAGTTAAAAGTTGGCCATATATAATGCTGTCTATCGGTAACATAAGCATAGCAAAGCAGTTTGAAAGAAAAATGAAAATTTTGTTTTAATTTAAAATATGGCCTTGGCAGCAGAAAGCTTGCATGTCATCTACTTAGATGATTGCAAAGTCTTTGAAGTTGATTGTTATACTTTCACAGTTGCTTTGAATCACCTTTCTCTGTGCCGTACAGAAATATTTCTTGACAGTTTCTCAATCATGTCCCAGGGCCAACAATTTTACTGATGCACACGACTGCAAATTCAGAGAATCTGTTGGGATGGACTGTTGTGTGCACAGCCAGATCAATGTTTTACTTACAAAAGCCATGCATTAGGAGCAGTAGCACACAAAATAACATCGATGAGTGTGACCTCTCTGGGATTAAATGCTGCCTGTTGCTTTGTAACTAATTGTGCACAGAAGACTTAAAAGAAGCAGGTCTCAATAGGCATAGCCACAGAACACAGTACACCGACGCAAAAGTGAGTGTGGTAATGCATTTTCAAACCAATTACTTTTAAGGTACAACTCCTTGACAAAGAGTTGCACTGAACAGAGAGTCACAGCCTTTATTACAGCCAGATCTGAGAAGGATTAAGATTCCATAATGTGATTCAGTACTATGCTGTGTGACGATATCACATTGATTGAAACACCACAGAAACCACAAAGTTCTACTTTTCATCCAAGAGCCAGATTAATTCAGAATTCTTAATTATTACTAAATGTGATCCTAAATGGAGTTCTAATGAAAATGCTGGTGGAATGTAGGCAGCCAAAATAATTCAGTTTACCTGGCGCAACTTGCAGCTAATCCTGGCGTAATTGCTTCAGTTCACTTATATACACCACATCACCCTCTCCTCCTTCTTGCTCATTTTCACATTCCTCCTCCACTCCATCTCCACCTCCACCAGCAGCCCCTGGGTCACCTCTTCACGACGCATGGGGGTCCTAGTATCCCCCCCCCCCATGGCCCTCAGCCAAGTGGGTTAAGCCAAAGTTTTCAATAAATTCGATGAGTGATTCAACCATCACAGAAGCTTTAGCTGGTGTCATTCCTCGTCAAATTATAATTGAGTCTTGTGTTTGTTTGCCAGGTCTTGAGTGACCTCAAAGCTCAGCTGGGTTTAGAACTGTAATCCCTATGGATACATAGTTTATCGATTGAAAATCTCTCCAGATTTGCTGTTGGTCTTCACATCTGACATAAAATTCACTAAAGCTAAAGAGCACTAGATGCTGAATCCAATAATATAGGGTCTTTGGGTGTGTCCTTAAATTTTTTCAAAAGGATCAATAAATTGCCTTTTTTAATGTGCTACACTATTACTAATCTCTTATATAACCAAACACAAAAACCTCACTCTGCAGAAGATTTAATCATCACCACTTACTGTTTTTAACAACTATAATCCAAAGTGAATAATTTTCCTAATATTTCATGGTTCCCACCTGATCAGCATCCTTTGCTTTTCTTCACAACTCTAATGAATCTTGTGTGGTCAGTACCTTCCTCATCACTGTAAATTTCACCTCCAAGTGGGTCAGATTGGTCTTGAAGGAGTATCTATGTTACTGCACTGAGATGGGAGCTTCTTCTTCACCACACAGTCACTCAAAAAACATGCTTGGCTACATCAAAATTGAATTTTGTAGGCTTTATATAATATAATATATATATATATGAATTAATTACTTACAGGTATCAGGCATAAACTACTAATGTACTGGAATATAAGGGGAAGTCATTTATTCAGCTCATTATAATAGTAACGCATCAGCTTGATGAAGAAACATTCTCCAGTTTATAACCACCTGTAAAACTGAATCTTTCTTCTTCAATGCAAAGACAAGTACTTGTGCTTTCTACTGTAGAGTGTGAGAACAATTCATTATTCAAGACCAAAATACTGTTCCCCATGCAGCATGTGTGCGGTTTCAGTCTTTGTCTTGGTTTGGGTAATGCTTTGTAATCAACAGGAGATCAACAAGTACTAGATTTATAAAAGATACCACTATAAAATGTATAACTTTTAAGTGAATAAATGTTTGTGTTTCTAACCTGTCAACATAATTTAGAATAAAAGCCCAGGAACTGGCACCAAATGTTATGTTCAGGGTCTATTCACACTGCAGATAAATATACAGGTCAGTCCGGAAACAAAAAGGCCAAGGAAACAATCTATCTCCCCAGACGAAATCTAGCAAGTTGGACTGGCCTTGACAGAAAGATAAGGAGAGATGCAATTTATTATAGCTGAAAGGTTTTTCTTGGCAATCCACTGTAATTCTGCTGTTTTCTTATTCATTTGAAGGATCAGCAAATTGCCTGTTTTATGCCATACTCAAACAATTAAATCTTAATAGAATTCCTCTTGATGAATCTGAAATAGACTTCCTGAAAGAAATAGAAAATGTTTCTACAATGTGTGGACATGCTGAAATGCAGTAAACCTCTGGAAAGTGATTAGTAACAACCAATCTTATCTTTGTAGTTGAACCTCTTCCAGCATCCATAGCAAGAGTTATAGATTTGGTAGATCTGATGATTTACCTGATCTAAGAATAAAATCCTACTTTTGCTATTTTTAAACATCTATTAATGATGCGTTGAAGCAACACTGAATTAAAAATCCCTTGAAACATAATGTGTTGATAAAGATTGTGACAGCATTTGCCTGAGCTTGCAAGATCTTGTAACTAATGCAGTCCCCACTGTTATTTTCTTACAATGCAAAGAAGGCTTCAAGCAGAGCCTGGTTTTACCAAGTTAGCAGAAGAAATGGATATAAAACCAATCCCTTACCTGGAGACAGCTCTCCTTCACTTAGCTCTCCAGAGTCTGAATCCATGTTTCCTGTTGGACTGCTTTTCCTGCAGACTTAATTCTTTAACTGTGACACTGAAACTCTTTTTGAGTCGAGAAGTAGCAGCTGTGTATAGAAAAGAGCTGGCACCGACACTAAGCTAAGCTCGCTCTCTCCTCCTCTCTCTCTGAGTCAGAGCTGGATGCCCCTGAAAGCACTGAGAATTGCAATAGCTTTTGCACCTCCCAGCCAGCAAAAGCTGACAGAGCCACTTCAGAGCAGAGGCAAGCCTTCTGAATGCCATTGGCTGTTTCAGACAGTCATTAAACAATCACATGCAGATAAAATAAGAATGCCAGGAGCTTTTCTCTTGAGTCCGGTGACTGAGGATATGGTGAACTGTTGATCTTTTTGATAAAAAGTATATTGTTTGTAGACTAATGACAGTATTGAGCATTCCTCGGCCATTGTATTTACAAAATCAAATAAATCAACTAGCACAACTATACATTTAATCCCATATCTGGGTCAGAAGAAGATTACTGTAATTCTTATTTTGAAGTGTCAAAAATGTGTCTCTGCTGGGTTTAACTCTTTACCTAATGAGAACATGAAGGAAGAGCTGTGTTACTGAGGTGTAAACCTTTATGTTTGGTTACTGAGAAAAACTTTTTTCCAATAACTGTTGAATAAATTGAGACCACTATTTTGATATTATGTATATAGTAAGATGGTAAAGTGTAATTATGCAGTATACCGAGCTCAATGCAAAATTATTTATGGATCAGAATTTTCAACAAAGACTGTTCAACTGACAAGCCTCAGGCAGCATACAGAGATTTTTATGTAGACTGCAGTTTACTAAAGAATACCCTTCCACCCTTCCTACACAGGTTTGTTTAATATGCCATAATGCCTAGGGGGGTCTTGAGTGCAGATAACATCATAACAGGATAAAAGATAAGAACTGCACTTTGGTTTTCCAGTGATTTGCTGAAAGGTAAGGTCAGCTAAACTGTTAATAGCTTGTGCTATTGACTGTAAACAGTGGTTGAGGAGTTATGTGGGTATGCATGGCTTAGACCCAACCAAAAGTACCAGGTGCCTGCTAAGTGATGTTTGCATGCTTGTATGTCCTGCCCCAGCACAGCTGCTCTATGGTTATGGTAAAATGCTTAATGGGCCAAGTGTATCTGGGCTCTTACCTATTTGTAGCAATCGATACATATAACAGCTGCAATGCATTATAAATGTTAGGATCTCTTATTTCACAAATTGCAAAATACTAAGGAGAGTCCTACAGATAGAAAACGTTTGTTTATCTGAGCACAGAAAGAAAAGCTACATAACCAAGGAGGAAGAGTTCTGTAGGAGAAATAATTCAAGTGAAACTGGAACAGCCATTCACTTTTCCTATTAGACAAGCTATTGTAGTTCTTTGTACGATTTACGTTACGTTACGTTGTTCTTGTTTTGAGGATTTGTGTTTCTTTGAAAATTCAAACCTCACTTTCATGTGAGGTACTCTGTAATTACTGTGTGCAAGCATAAAAGAACATAAAAGACCAAATTACATCTTTGTTTTTTTTTTAAAAGATGTAATTCAACTGGTTTGTTTGAATACAAATGAAGATTTATATATCAACCTTTTTAGCTTACTATAATATCTGATGATTGTGCAGTAGAGAGGTTAATTCTATTTTAGTGTCTTTGAATGGTAGGATAGCCTTTTTTATACTTATAACCTGGATTTGACTGAGATATTGAAATATGTATATATGATCTGTTTGCAGAGATGTACATCATCAACGGAGTGAATGATAAACATTCTGCATACCACACAAATCAGTCCTTTGGCAGAGGGTGAGACTACATTGTGAAAGACACGCAGTTAAGGCAAATCTGCATGCAGGAGTAGTTCAACACACGTGCCAGGAATTAGAACAAAACTCATAGTTCCAAAAGTGCAAGAAGATTCCAAAGTTCACAAAAATAAATTCTTCCTCAGATTTTTCCTTGCCAGAGAAAAATGACATTACAAAAGATACTTTAGGAAATCATAATTTTGTTCTACAGTATATCAACTTCACATTAAAAAATACAGTTTTTTTTATCACATTGCCCTGCATGAAATCTCTCAATGTGTCTTCTTTTTATTGGAGTTTGAGAGAAAAATGATTTTTTTCAGCCAGCAGTCAATTGGAGTCCTCATTACCCGTAAAGCACTTTGAGTGGAGTGTCCAGAAAAGAGCTATATAAGTGTAAGGAATTATTATTACTAATTACTGTACAATGCATCTTATTGCCTAACCTCTTTCTCTATAATGATGCGCATACTGTATATACTGTAAGTATGATGTGAGATGATTGTTAAAATGTTTTTAAATGTACTTAACACAGGAATAAAATGTGTCTAATGTTACAGTATGTTAATTTATAAAATAGACAACACTCAGAACAATAGAAACAAATTAGTCACAAATTATTAGAAATACTCATTTTTATGTTCCAATCATCTTGTCTGAGCACTATACTGTAATTGCACAAAATATCTGTTCAATTACAGTTATTAATATCATGTTTGCTCTTGTAACTACTGTGTTTGGTGATTTGAACCATGGAGTTCTGTCGGAAGCTTTTGTAGCTTTACCTCGAAAAATGATGCTTTTAAGAAAATGTGGGAGTTGGTAAAATAATCAACACAAACACAAACCTGCATTTTTTATAACAAATGAGTAGCTCAGTAATCTCTTTGTAAATGTTTACATACAGAACATTGGGAATGATATTACTCTGAAGAATAAATCTATTTTAAGAGAGCTCTCTAAAGCCCTTTTAGAACACTAATTGATCAAAGCTAATGCATTCCTTTTTGTGTAAAGCTACATCCCAGCACTTAACAATTAATAGGACTACTGTATGTGTAATGCTTTTTGCGGGTGTGTCCAGAGCTGCCTGTCTGTGGAGTAGTGGTGAGTTCTCTGTGCTCTGTACCAGTGGGTCATGGGTTCAAATCTCAAATAAATTACCCCTGTCGTACCCTTTTATTAAGGTACTTTACTGCAATGGTTCTAATAAGTATCCTCTCGTATAAATGGGTCTCCGGTCAGTAATTGCAAATGTGGATTTGTTTGCCATTGATTGACCTGCTGGAATATAAAATAAACACAGTTCATGACTGGATCTATGGAAGTGGGTGACCTTTATATGATTATATCAAGAACTCACATGTGAATAGAATAGGCAATAATCTTTATGATTTTGTTGTTTGCTTGAGAGCAAAGGTTAATTTCTCCTTGTTATGAGGAGTACATTATTTAGCAACATATCGTAGTCACATTTTATGTTTTACATGATATTAATCATTGCATATGATATATGATTGCAAGATCTACACTGTTTTTGTATTTTATAATGATATGTTGTGGATCTTTCAAGATTGGTGTTTTATCCCAGGCTGTCAGATTACAGAAGCTTCCTGTTAAAAGAATTTGGAATTTTCAGCATTAGCTCATCTGTATACCTAGATAGTTCCATCAGCCACAGGCTTGGGAGCTGAAGGTTTCTTTGAAGACGATGATTTGGTGTAAGTCTTTCCCCTTCTGGCTGACCTGATATTAATAATTACAGTAGACGTGTATCTGGATTTGAAGCATGCTTATTAACACATAGAAGCTAATAATTAAACACAGCAGCTAAACCTGAGCATAGTGTATGATGCAGGAATATTAAAATCTAAAAAGTTATATACAGCTGAAATCAGGAGATAATTAGATGCTGCATGCCATCACACCAAATATAATTACATGTAGATGGATACCAAAGGATTTAAAACATACAAGAAGATTTATTTTGAGTGACTACAAATCTATTTTGTGGATAACAAATTAGAAGAGAAAGTTAACTTAGGAATGTTGGTATTTTACATTAACTGTTTAAAGAATTGGGATATGAAAAAACATCTATGGTACATTAATACTTAAATTCAATGGAGAAATTAAGATATTTTAATCTTAATAAGAATATTTTATAAGACTATTGAAGAAGGCTAATAATTTAGTTTCTCGCAAGCATTCTCATTAGAGGCGATCATGTGGCTGTTATTTTCTGGATGACCTTCCCAATTTTTGTTTACCCCTGTCCATCTGTTCAATTCAGTATTATAAATAAGCCAGCTTTATGTTTTTTGTTGTTTTTCGATATTTTCTCCAGTAGAAAAAACATTACAGTACTTTAGTAATTTGGCAAAGCAGTTGCCTACAAGGAGGCAAACTCCAGGAAATAATTAAAGCCAGACACAGAAAGCAAGCGAATACTTTCTGTCTGGGTATTTTTTGAAGTGCTGTGAACCTCTATATGTTTTGCACTACATCAATATATGCTGGTGAGGCAGGAAGAGGAAGGACTGCAGTTGCTAGATGGCCACTAATTATTAACATGTACATAGGAATGAAATAATTAATTAATGAATAATTGTTGAGAAGTTCACATTTTCACATGGGTGTGATTAATAAAAGGCTGGACATGGGGTGTTATCTGCCAAGTCTGGACATGGGGTGTTATCTGCATGGAGTTTGAATGTTCTCCCCATTTGCATGGATTTCCTCTGGTTCTCCCATAGTTCAAAGACCTATTGGTAGGTTAATTGGCCTCTTGGAAAATTAGTCCTAATGAGTGTGTGCATGTCTGTGGCTGTGTGTACTCCACAAAGGACTGGTGTCCTGTCCAGGATGTATCCTGCCTTGTGCCCATTGCTTGCTTGGATAGTCTCTGGCTGTCCCATGACCCTGTTTTGGATACATGGAAATGGATGGATGGAATTGAGCCAGACAAATGTCACATACCCTTATGTTTCTGGATACAGGTCTCATTGTAAGAAACATTTGAGGATTTTGATCTTTTAACTGATGTTTATTAGATTTTCAATGGCTGTTTACAATCAGAATAAACCTCTCTCATAAACAAACAAGCTGTTTTTCATTAATTCTGAAGAGATTGAATTGTTTTCTCATTAGCAGCAATATTCTAGTGAAATGATTTTTTGTACATAAAAGAGTGATTATGCTAGATAATGATGCCATTGTGCAAACTTTTGAGGTCTGAGGTGCATGTAAATGTCTTTATTATTTGAATATATAAAAATAAGACTAGATAACTAAATTTTAAATATCTAAAAATAGGACTAGGTGACTCTAGATTTTGATATATGAAAATAAGACTAGGTAACTCTAGATAGTTATCAGCCTGTTCCTATCAGTGTTTCGTGGAGAATATGACTGAGTGATTTGTTTAAGGATGAAGACCTACTCCTTTGTTACTGCAGGTTCCCAGAGTGGAAGAACAGAATTTTTTTCATTTAGAATTTTTTTTCACATTTATGATCCAGTGCCGTTATAGGAGCAATTATGAAAACACACTTTAAGCAGCTAATCACAATATGTCACATTGAAAAAGCTGCCTCTTAATTCTGTTTTCCGTGCTGTTAATGTCTGACAAACTATTCATATGGAAATTCATTTCAGAGACTTAAAAATGCAGACCTTTTCCATAATGCCATAGTGAGAATATAAGTTATACATTATTAAGAACATATTCAAACACTTTGCAGTGGCAAGTGGAGTGAGTCACCCATGTTGGAATGAAATAGCTAAAAACCCTACTTATTCTTGTAATGACTGTTGCTAGTTGGAAGAAAAACTATGGGGGGAAGCTTTATCTTCTTTCCCATCTTTTTCTGTCAGTTTCCATCTCTGAGGACATGTTTTGCTACAGACCTGTTCTCCAGAGGCCAGTACAATGGTACATCACAGTTCTTTGGTTCTGGAATCGATACTAGACTTGGGCTCTAAGGCTCTTCTCTTTGGAGTTTAAGATCTTTGCCATGTTTGAGGGAGTTTTCTCTGGGAGCTCTAGTCTCTTTCCTCCTTCCACAGGCACTTATTTGTGTGCCCTATTTTAGTTCTCATTTGTTTAGTCAATGAGACATGCATTTCACTTGAGACATAATGACATTGTCAGTTGGTTTTAATTCCTAAATACTAATGTTTCCGGCTCAAGGAGGAGATTACTTGACAGCCTGAGACCAATGAGAAATGTGAGGGTGAAACCTGTGTTGAAGAAATAATTTCCATTATGCTACAAAGCTCTTACAGCTCACCTCTGCTTGCAGACAGCTATTGACTGCAAATTACCATAGGTTCTCTATATAATCCATATGATGTCAGCCTGGAGATTTTGTTGGAGCAAGGATTAAGAGAAAATTAAAGTGGGATATCTTTGGAGCCACTTCAACGTTCAAACGTTCGGGATGACCCCGTCTGGTGTATCATCAGTTGAATTAAAACCTTGACATCAAGTCTCCTTCAGGTACAGTGGGTGTGGGAAGAGCAACACCAAAGTTAATGATCCCCAGACCAGGGGAGCACATACCTTCTTGAAGCTGAGCCTACATTTTGACACCTTGACCCTTATCTTAAGGAACAACAAGAAAGCTGCATTTTCACTTTAACTACTTTAGATCTAAATTAATCCCAAGCTTTATTGTCTGTGGGTTTGTTGCTAGAAGGGCAATTAGAAAACAACTACTCTACTTTACGGTTTCTTACATATGAATACTCAGAAAATGACTTGGCAGAATTCCTGCCTTCTAAATGCCACAGCTGGGAACAGACACGTTGGTCCAGAGGATCTCCAGACACTGTATGGGTAGGATACCAAATTAATCTTTTATTGAGCATACTCGTACGTATACAGTAGGTCTATTTAGTTACCACTAAGCTTAGCATTTTATATATCTTTGATTGTTAGACTGTACTACAGTACATTTATGACGAGATTGTGTGCACATTATTTCACAGTGCTAGGTTATGAATTTGGCACATTTCAGTGCACAGATCTTTGCAACACTATCAGATATCCAATAAAAACATTAGAAGACTGCCATTATTTCATATAATTTGTTGGTTTATGGGTGATTTTTCAAAAGAGAACAGTCCTGGCATATTCCTACAATTTCTTCTCTTTAAAGGTGAGTTTTTGTTTAAACAGTGCCAATACTGTATGTTAAGCCTGTCCTTTACTTATACTCATTTTGAATATAGGGAATGAATATTATTATCAAATCAGCAGTAGCCTTGCTGCCTTGTAATTCTATGAAACGAAAATTATTTTAAAATGTGCCTAATGATTTCAAGCAGCAACCAATGCTAATACATCCCCAGCATTGCTGTTTTTTGTGTTATAGGAGACCTGCAGATTATCAGCACATTTCATTTGTGAATCAGTTAACAACACACGACAAATCTGCATGCATCACTCATTATGATTACTTACATCATTAGAAGAGCTAAGTTTAGTAAACTGGATGTTGGCTGTTTTTTCTCACATGGTGTAATATGCTAATTATTCTAAGCCAATCTGCAAACTCATTGCCTACCCACAGGATTGATTATGTAACTCCTTCTTTAGGACTACTTTATTTTTGCCTAATGTAATGAGAGCTGAATATTGTTGTTTATGCCTGGCTAAATATCATTCCAGAACATGGTGTGATTGAGTCACCAGACTGAATAATAATGAAATGAAACCTGATTCCTTATTAGTGTTGGCTGTGCACATAATGGCTGGTGGTGCTAATCACTTTTAAAATGTAAATCTATGAAAACTCAGAAATCATTTCCTGTTTCTCCTTTTGAAGTGAGTGACTGTTTCTGCTGCCTTTTCTTCACAAAACTTTTCAGCACAGTCTGTCACCTGATTGTGCCAAGCAATTATGATGCTACATACCCTTAAATGTTGGGCACAATAATATATAGTAGAGTATCTTTATTTGGGAGGTTGTTTTGTTAGTTTAACACTCAAATAACATTGTCCTGTAAAATCACTGGCACCTCGCATGAATTTTATATCTAGAAAATTGTATGTTCCATAATTACTGTATAGTATAGTATATGTATATTTTCCATATCACAATTTGCAACCTGTTAGTTGAAATCAAAGGAGAGCAAGACTACATTGCTTAATGGGTTTTACAATTGAGTGACCTTTTTTAGTCTGTATCTGTAGGAGTATCTGTACCTACATTTTCTGCACAGGCACGCATTGCCACAATAACACAACATTATTTGTGTTACACAACATGACTAAAATGGAACTTTACAGATTTTTTCTTAAGAGGTTCAAATGAAGACTTGCATTAGCACCAGAAGAATAAAAGAGAATGTGAGATTAGGTAAAGCTGAGGCATTATTTCACAAAGTGAAATGTACATTTTCTATAACAAGCAATAGAGTTGGTCCATGTTTAATTTTTCAGCCTGGAAATGGTGATCTGGATTCTGGATTAGCAGAAATGTGTAACAGAAATGTACAGGAAACAGGTTCAGCCTTGATTATTTATGAACAGTAAAGGAACACAGTCATTACTGTACATTTACAGTTTCTGCAGCGTTTGTTCATTGAAGAAAATAAAAATCATTATGTATTTCAATATTTTTTACTTTCTTTTAAACAACAATGGTTTCTATTCTTGCTCATTACTTCACAGACAAAATAGATATATAGTTATTTCACAATATCAGGAACAAACAAAGGATTTTTTCCATTAAATAGTAGAATGGTGTTCACACTTTTGTCCACATATCCTTTTATCTTTTGCCCAATAGATTTTTAATCCCTTTTATCAGCATTTCATAATGAATATCATTGTCATTGATGTAAATAGAAATGCCTCTAACAGACAAGGCTACATAATTTTAACATAAACATCAAAACACTATTGAAGAAAACAGTTAAGTGTTAATTGTGTTCACAACCCACACTTTTCATTTGTGTTGAACCTGAGTCAAGTGTATTACAGGAAACTAGCGCAAATGTACCAGATCGCTAAGAAAATGTGAGAAGGTCAAGAAATGTCCTTTTAAAAAAAGTGTTAACACAGGATGCTTTCTCCTACATGTAAGTTTATATATAGACATTTTTAATTTGTTTAGGATTTTTTTATTATAGGTGCTTACAGTTTAATGTTTTTTTTAAAGTTTGGGTGCCTATATGTATTAGGATTTGCTGAAACAGCATTACATCTTAAGTAAGAACAAAGTGCAAAGTAAAGACATACTTTCTTGTGTTATCTCAGAATATTTTCCTTACCAGTTTTTGAAGGTTAAATGTTACATATCTGCTTGACATTCCTCCATAGGAGGACTTTGTAACATACAGTATATTAGACAGAGATTTTGACTTGGATTTTTCTAAAGAGAAATGTGTTTGTTCCCTTACTGTAATTCAGTTGTATGCCACTCTGTATCATGCAACACAAATTCATGTGATATTACTTTTCAGAATTAAAGCCAAGCATGAATAAAGTATGACATATTGTAGAAATAGTAAAATACCTAAAGGCTTAGAAATAACTGAGAAGCTTTTCATTTGATTTGAAGAATGTGGGAGACAATGTGAGCAATAGCTATTTTCTGGGTTATATTTTAGTGGCTATCCAAAGGCTGCTTTTGTAATTAAGCCTTCTGCTTTATTTCAACATGTGAGTTATTGGTATCAGATTCCTCTCCCCCCATTTCTTTAGAAAACACTAAGGTCTGTGGGTTGGTCTACCAATGACTTAATGTCTTCATTCCCTTTTTTTACCAGCCAGTATAAATTGAGAAAAACATCTGAGAAGCTCCTGTTCAGCTTTACTGCATGAACACGGGGTGACTCATAACTCTTTGGAAGAAGGGTTCATACTGTAAGTTTTACATTTACTGCCTACCCAGTAGTTGTTCAGAAGTGCTTTTTATTACTAAAGTGATCAATTAAAAAAAACATGGTTATAGGTAATGGTTAACATGGATTTGGACAAAGACAGATCTTGGTGAACTGTTACCAACAATAGTAATGGACACAGTGTGGGCATATGATATGGTATATTTAAATTTCCAGAAGACTTTTGATAGAATATCCCTATACAGTTCATTCTCGAATTGCAAGCAACAGACTTTCAAGATAATCTGAGTGTTTGGATTGAGACCAGGATAATGAAAAATTACACAGAATTCAGATAGGGGCTTAACACTCAAATTAGGGTGATGTAATTAGAGGAGTACCACAGGGATCTGTACTACGACCACTGCCCTTCCTAATTATAAACTGTGATCTACAGTATATTCTGTTATAGTTAATAAGCTAGTAAAATTCACAGATGATAGATAATTAAGTAGGAGGATGAGCCAACTTTAATATAGACAAGTGCCAAGTGTTACATACAGGTAGGAAAAATGTCATCTACTGTATAAATATAAAATGAGAAACAATGAGCACGAAGAAACTATGAAAAACGCTTGGGTGTTTGTTTAAACATTAATTTCTTATAGTCAAGGTGGAGAGGCAAACAGAATGTATAGTTAAAGTGTAGAATTTAAATCAAGGGATGTTATGTTAAAATTGTAGAACGCAGAAGTTGGATGACATTTAGAATATTGTTTACAATTTTGTACAGTACATTATAAAATACTATTCTGGTTTTTGGTTGTGGGGGTCTGGAACATTTAGTTGCAGTACAGCCATGTTCCTGAAGTTGATATTCTTTTATTCAAGAAACAACTTGGATCAAATAAGCAAGATGGGTTAAATGCCCTTGAATTTCAATAATGTTTTTAAGCTAAAGCATACCTTGGATTTGGTGCAATTATCCTTAGTGTTTCAAATTTAAAAAGGTAAATTATTAAGTGTGATAAACTGCTGGCTGTTGGGTACTTTCCTGAGAGATTAACTGATTAAAACTGCACTTAAAGGTAACCTCAGGAGGATCCAGCATTCATCTCCATTAATTACCACACCTTTTAAAATGGCAAAGTATTATGTGGAAAGATTGATTAAGAAAGAGAGACTGAAATTCAATATCCGAGGACAGGAGTTCTTTAACTTGTTCCACTTATTATTTTAGAGTAGTTCAGTCAATTTCAACAACAAAGCGAGCTGATGAATAAAAAGCTGTAGCATTTTTAATACTTTGTTGTTAACTCTCCTGGTTTAGGTAATGACAGTGCTGACTGAGGATCACAACCCCTCTCATAAAAGAGGAATGAACCAGGGAGGCAGCTGCAAGGGTGAAGTTGGGGTGGTGAAGAACTAGAAAAGAGTTGAAGGCAGCCAGTAAGTTTGTATACACAGATGAGCGGAAGAGCGAGATTGGAATTTGACCTCCTCCTGAACCTCTGTTAAATATCACCATTTTTCCATCCCAAAGAAATGCAGAAAAGATTAAATGTGGTTAACGTTCACAACTCAAGCCCGCCAATCAGGAGCCTGTGACTGAAGCACAGCCAGCTGCTGTTTATTGGAGCCTATCTCTGTCAGAGCTGTGCCCTCACTCAGGCCCTCTGAGGTGCCCTAGGGCTTGTGTCATTTCCCAGCTGAGCCATGCCGAAACATTTGCTGAAATTTCACCCCATCCTCGCCATGTGACTCTACTTTCAAAAACAGTGCACGTTTTATAATTGTCACAAGTATTATACAGCTGAAATTTCCCTTGGTCCAATGTGGCATAATATACCACTAATTTGATTAAATATTTTTAATTACAGATAGCTGTATTGTTCAGACTTAGAAAAACAACAGAACATTATACCTTAATGGGTTTTGATATGATTGTTAAATCAAAACTTAAAATACTAAAATGATGAGTGAATCTGTATTTTTTAAATAGAAACGACTATTGAGTCACCATATTGAAATACAGAACATAATGACATTAAATTAATTTAGATGAAGTGACTGTTTCACCAGTGGCATCACAAAATTGAAATAAAATGGAAACTGAATATGTGCCCATCTGTTTCCACAGCTCTTTTGCCGAGGTGATTGCTCCAGTTTCCTCTAAAACATCAATGTGAAAACAAAGAGTCCCACAGGATCCTGCAGTGTATCCGAGAGGTAGCCCAGGCCGGTCTTTTAAAATTGAATTGTTTTCAATTCTGGCTAAGCCAAAGCAATCTCTCCAGTGACTTTGTTCTTTGTTGTTACTGTTCATTTTCTAATGACTGGCAGAAATTTGTTCTGGTTTTCTTGCATCTCTTAACATTGCAGTTCCCTGAGGGAAATTCAATTCCTGTGACCTTTTGAAACACAAGGAGTAGGAGTTGCATGTATTGGGGGTATGCACTGCTCAAGCCTGTTTGTGGCCAGGAAGCACAGTATGTGGTCACCACCTGCTTATCTATTTTCTTCTCTTGTAAACACAAAGGAAAAAAAAAATTAAGCTGTCTTTATGGCATAACACAGTGCATTGGTTGATTTTATATATAATATGTTTATAACACATATATTTTAGGATTCTAAACAGGAAGGGGACAGATGTCATGCTGGTACCTTAAAGAACCTTTGTATTTAAAAAGACGATAATGCAGTAATAATAGGCTGTGAAAGGTGAGGAACTGTACCATTTGTCTTCATATTGTCCAGTAAGTGCACACAGCATATGTCCAGATCCCAGGCGTTCCTGGTATTTAGTGCTGGGCTTTCGCCAGATGTAACTGTTGAGTTTGGCCAAAAGTGTGGAGACAGGGGAAGACCCCCATATGTGTTTTTTCTTGTGGGACCTGATCCCAGACCTGCATTAGAGAATTAAAGGCTTGAGAATACAAATGCTTTACTGACAAACCCATCTCAAACCCTTTACGGCTCTTTCCAGGGCTCCAAGATGTTCATATTTTTGTTGTTTTTCACCATCTCCACAAGCCGAGAGGGGTGATGTGTTGCTGTACAGTACTGTATATATGAATTCACAAATCATTTAGATCCATGCATTTGTCCTCCTCCTTCTGCTTCATCTTTGACATCTGTTTTCATGACCGCTTTCGTAATTCCCTGATACATCATCCAAATGCATCCAAAATAAACTAAGCATAAACACACCCAGTGTCATTCAGTTTCATCGGATTTCGTATTTTAGCACCCATCTTTATTTCTTAAATAATGTTAGTCATTTTCTTCTAATTCTCTAAGCTACATTCACCTCGCTGATTAATGACATAGCTGGGTTAATATTGTATTATATCGCCCTCTGCTGTTGCATCTGTTGCATGTTCAGTTACTCTATACTGTAAGTCTAGACCAGTGGCTCTTCACTGCTGTCTGCTCCCCTTTGGTTCTCACAATATTATTTCTCACACAAAAATCATTAAAATTTAAAAGTTTATTCCTCAAAACTAAGATATATTTAATAAATAATTATCTTTCATTCTACAGTTATTTTAATATTGCAGTAAAATTAAGGATACATGAAAAAAACAGCATAATGCAACATTGAATATTAATAGTACATTATACAAACTTCTGTGTATGAAGCTCTGATTTAATTTAACTAACTTATATCCAAATACTCTTTTTACTGAAAAGAACTGTTACCAGACACATGCTCTATGAGCAGATATCAGCAAGGGCCACTTGTATACACATATTTATGTGGACTCATTGTACTCAGAGATACAGAAACACTGAGAGTATATCAGTTTTATTATTGAATAATATTCATTCACAATGCATTATTGCAAGATGGTACAGTGACTTTACAGGAAATTGTTTGTGAACTAAACAGCACCCAAACACAAGCAGAATGCTGAAAGGTTCATGTGTACAAACGTAATATATTTTCCTCTACTTAGAATACTTTCACTGACACAGAAAGCATAAAGCCTATCATGCTGCTGTTTTTTTAAAGGACATACATGTACATATTAAGTTAATGCAGTAAAACACATTTTCTAAAATACCTGGGAAGAAAACCAGATACCTGTCCACCAGAAGTAACCCTACAATACACACATAGAAAATAATAAGTAATGTCTTTTTTCCTTCCCAACCTTGATATCCTAATGGTGTGATTTCTGTCTGGGAATGAAGATCATGTCCAGAGTGTTCCTGTCCTCTACCGGTTGCTGAGAGAGGTTGTTAGTGTGTTTGATACTGCTTAAGCTGCACCCATTCTGCGGACTCACTGTGTATCTCTTCAGCAGGGTCACTAGGATGGCCTTCATCATCACCATGGCGATGTGTTTCCCAACACAAGATCTGGGCCCAGAGCCGAAAGGCTGGAAAAAACGGCTGGGCACCTGTAGTGAACAATAAATAAATGATTGCTTCACCACATCCATGGAAGGATTTATCCAACAGACTTTGATTCACACACACTTATGCCACAAGAAATGTATAGTAAAAACAATTAAACCAAATTAGTGTGGACTTGAAGATTCAAACTGAGTGAATGATATCTTGTAGAATTTGTTATTGATAATTCCTTTATTTCTGTTTCTAAAATACAAAGCTCACCACTTTCATTGGGAATTGTATTTTATTTCTTCTAGAAACTCTAAAAAGAATCCAATATAGCATTCTTCGGCTGCATTATGGAAAGGCAAAAAGTGTTGGCAAGACTTCCAAAATTCTATCTTACATTGTTCTCAAAGTTTTCCAGGCTGAACTCGTTTGGCTTGGGAAAGAACTCCTGCCGGTGCATGCGCCCCATGTTTAGGATGATGTTTGTCCCCCTTTTCACTCTGTATCCCTCGATGACATCATCCTCTAATGCTCTCCGCATTGTGAAGTCGACAACGGGGTGGAATCTCAAACACTCATAGATAAAATTCTCAAGGACTTTCAAATTTTGCAAGTCACCATTTTGCAAATCCTTATCTCCTAGAAGAAAACATACATCACTTCAAGGCTTCATATTTATAGATCATATATGTTATAAAAGTAGTATATAGATGTACAGAAATACAGTATATAGTATCTCCCTGCAATTATAGATTAAGAAACTGCAAAAATGATAAAACCTGTCTTAATAAGTGGTTTAGACTAGCTGAATGATTCTGAAGAATGAATAAAAGAGAGAGCTGGTTTATAGCATTAAATCTTAGCCTCCTCTCAAAAACCCTGGCTCAGTGATTGTCAGTTTCATTTAATCTGCAGTCAGTAGCCCGAATCAAATTTGAAATAATTATAGGCTTGAACTCAGCTTGTCAGTTTCTTTATCTATGTCTTTGGTAAAGTGGGATTGCTGTATCTCTTGCCATTTAAGCAAAAATAAATGATGGCAAATTAACTTCAAGTGTGTGCTTTCACCCTTTTTTATAATCACAGACATTTCAAGCTGTCTTATCTGCTGATGCACTTACACTATCAGTGTTTTACAGCTGAGCCTCAGCAGGTGACACTCACCTATTAGAGTGTCAATTTCCTCAAGCAGCTTCTGTTCCACATCCGGGTGTTGTTTGAGGAGCATCAACATAAAATACAGGCTGACAGACATTGTGTCAGGTGCTGCTATCAGCATCTCCAGCACACACTGGTTCACATTGCCTGAAGACAGATCTCCATGATTCTGGAACAGCCCAAGCCAGCAAGACTCACTGATGAGCAAGTTCTTTCACAATCCAGGCAGTGCAACAAATCCATGTAACATCAACACATAGATTTCATTTCCAAAAGTGAAGTGGGAGTGTGTGCCATTAGCAGATACTGACCTCGGCAAATATTAACTCTGACGTGAAGTCAATTTCATCCAGTTTCTCAGTTTCCAGCAGCAATTTCCTCTTTTTCTCAACAAGCCTCTCAATGGCTTCTGGTAACTCCTGTCTGCAAAGGAAAGCACTGTATCATTTACCTGTTCAGAATAATGAGAACTGTACATGGCTAAGCTCCTCATCTCTGACCCTTAAAGACCTCAGTGCAGTGGGTGCCTCTTTCAGACACATCAATAACTGAGATAAAGGACTTAAATTAGATCAGGTTTACCATTTTCCTGAAACTTTTTTAAGCTGATAAAAAATGGAAAACCAGCAGAATTGTGATGTCTTGAGTATCAGCTGATTTAAAATCTGACACATTGTAACACTGAACAAAGAAACTGTAAAGACTCTGATCACTGCAGGTGTCCCCAGTGAGCAAAATCCAGAGAAAGTGTTGACACAAAAGCACAGATGCAGTAGCAGTGCTGTGAGGGACTGTCAGAAGAGATCTGAGGTCTTGCCATATACTGTAGTACTATATCTAGCTGTCTTCTGTTAATAAAGAAATTGTTACTTTTACCTGCAGCATATTTTCCTAAAATGGAACATGTAAAGGTTTATTCCATGCTGGAAAGAGAAGAAAGGAAACACAACGTTTTGGCCGTGGAGCCTTCTTCGAGTGTGAAGAATGCTCCACACCCGAAACGTTGTGTTTCCTTTCTTCTCTTTTCAACATGGAATAAACCTTTACATGTTCCTTTGCAGCCTGTGCATGCTGATGCAGCTACCTACTTGAACTATTTTCCTAAAATGTCATGTTACAATAGTTCTTATATCATTAAGTTATGATGTATCCCAAAGGAGACACTTCTGTTGTACACTTGAACAAGGTACTTAATCCAGCTACTGTTGCTCCAGTCAGCCCATCTTTACTGCATGTATAAAAATGGAAAATAGATAACTGTATAGCAATCCTTTTTAAGGAGCTTCTGAATGGCTTTGGAACCCTGTCATGTCATTGAAGGATATCCTGGCTTCCGTCAAGAAAGGTCTGGAATAGACATTCAGGTCAATTAGCTATTGTACAGTACTACCAAACATAGAATGAATGGATGAATGGCCTCTTCTCATTTGTAATCTTGGCAAGATTAATAAATCCTAAATAATCCCTGTTTTCATAAAATAACTGCTTATTTTACTGCTTATGTAACTTAAGAGTTACCTTTGAAATTGTGATACTTTATTTTAGGAACTGCAAAATGACAGTATACTATATTAATAATACGTCAACTTAGTACAGTGTTAGTTGTAATTTCCAGTACTTACGCTGCTTTGCTGTGTTTTTCATACAACCACTTGAATTTAAAGAAAATGTCTGGCTTGATCAGAAGTGCTTGCCAGGAGTCAAAATACCTCTGCGTTTTATGCACAAGGTCCTCTTCTGAAATTGGAGACAGATTAATCAAATGGAGGAAAACAGCATACTTAAAATATTATATAAATATTATTACTACATTTAATAATTACATTTATTCCAAATAAATACAATTAAGGAGCATGTCATACTATAATAAAACAAGTACTACATCTATCTGTCTTCTGTCAATGAATTTTGTCAAACATTTTATGAAATAATAGTTTTTATTTTCAATGAGTGGATATGCCCCTGAAGGATTCACCTTCACTAGTATTACCTTGACTGATGTTAAAGTGGGAAGTTTGATTTTTTCCCTCTGTTTCCCATAAAGTTATAATTTTAAAAAAAAGTTGAATAAGCCTAAGAGAACAGTAAGAAATCTTAAACTTCCAGAGCACAAAAGAGTAACAAATCATTGGTGAGGAAACTAGAAAAAATACATCCATTCATCATGGAAAATAGTATATTTCACCTTCTAGTCCTGAATAAATTCCAAGGATGGTTTAGCTTCAAATATCTTTCATCTGTTGGGTTTTTTACAACCTACAGGTTCTGATCCATGACATTTTTCAGAGTATCACTTCCGTTTTCATTTGTTAACTTACAAAGTTTTTGGAACATTCAGGTGTATAAAAAGAGGTGGACTGTTTTAAGATCTGAGCTCCCTGCTCAAACTGAGAATAAATCTACTTAAAACAAAGAATTAAAACCCATAATTATATTTGTTGCTACTTGTTGTTATCAGTATTGCCTCACAAGGTGAGACCACCCCCTTTCTAATTAAACGTGCAAGTTGAGCACTCTGAAGGCCTTGAAGGAGATGCTACAGGTTAGACAGAAAACTAAAATCGATGAAAAACGGAATAAAGCCACCGACCGTCCAGGGGAACTCGGAGAAACAGCTTGTTGTTGATGTCCATTATGGTGCACCTCAAGAAGTGAAGCACGTTAACCTGTCCCTCGGGGTTGCTGACAGTGTGTAGGCAGTCGAGGTGCTTGTTAGTGGACACGGCACAGATCGCCACAGTCTGCTGAAGTGACGGACCTGTAAGGGCTGGGGAAAGGTGAGACAAGAACAGAAAAACTAATTGGTCGGATAAATCTCAAGCGCTGCTCGCGCACAAATCCCGACAAAATTCTTAAACTACAGACACATCTCTACAGAGGATAAAATGTGTGTCGTGGGAATCGCGTTATTTGAGTCGGGACAGAAGACCGCTCACAATTTTATTCATCTATCCATTATTTATGGCCAGTTAATTTAATCTATAACAGAGTGCACAGACACGATCTGAAGTGCAATTACCTGTATACTGTATAATGGGTCAAACAATAAAAAGGGTTAAGACAATACTTCAATATAATGCAATAACTTAAAAACATGGTACACGGTGGAATGAAACATGAGCATCTACATCTAATTAATGTTGGTGAAACAACAACAACAACAACAACAACAACAATAGTTTATTTTATCTTAATTTGTCCAGTTCAAATAACTTAACATTCAGTTATAATTAATGGTTATTGTTAGTAGAGCAGGTACTGTCGGCAGTAAAAGTGTGTGTGGCATTAGAAAAGGCATCTGTTGACCTACCTTTGGCAAAGTAAGTGCGGACTGTTTTCCAAAGAGAAACATTAGAGTTAAAAATTATGCCTTTTCCGTACATCCCAATACATTGAAGTCCCTTCTTACTCCCAAACCGTGAGCTGTACTGTCCGTGTTTCAGCACATGGTAGACAGCCGAAGATCTGCAATATTTACATATAGTGATTTATTATTAAATTTAAAATAACAGCATTAAATGAATGCAGTTTATTTTTCTCCACCCAAGGCACTTGAAGGCTTTAAAACGAACGATTAACTAATCAACAACATTGACATTCACTACGTTCAATGAAGATTTATATTATTATTATTATGTCGACATGGATACTCTTTAGTGTTTTGAACTTTTGAACTTTGCAGACCAGTCGATGTAACCGAGGAACAAGGTGCATTGTGGGACCGCACCTTAGACCGGTAGGCTTTCCGTACCCACCCGCTGAGGATAAGTGTTTCCTCTCCGTTGATCCAGACCCTCGCAATGTCTCCGTATTTCTCATTGAAGTAATTGGACGCCGTCCCTATTCCCAGCCACAGAAACCGGGCGTAAGAAGCGATGGGCCCAATTCCAAAACAGAATGAAGGACCTACCATTAACAACAGAAAACAGATGCTTACAGTGGGGCCGATTCCCAAGGAAACCTACCGAAAGCTTTATTGTGTAATTGCTGTGTAGGAAGGGTGAGCAGACGCAAGAATGGGAAATAAGAATGGATCCACTGTAGGGATAAAAAATATTACAGTACTTATACAGTAACACGATGTTAATAATATGATTATTACATCTTTAAAATTGCATGTTTTTGTCTTGCCTACATGTACATTTTCGGCCATTTTTTATGTACACCACTAAACTTTTCATACGTATTACATTGTATGGGCATTAATGCAATTGCAAGAGTAAAATCCCAAAGCATTTCTAAACCATTTTTTCTATAGCCTCAGTAATACTGGAGTGATGCTGTTTAATTAAGCTACTGGACCAAATACATAAATACATTATCTTCTCCGGCTTCAAAACGATGATTGCTACTTTTGCAAGCGTCCGAAATAATTTTTCATTGTTAATTTTACACTTAAGCTTTCAGAATTTTAGATTCCAGTATTATTATTTGCTTTCTTGACTGAGGGTGTAAAACTGCGGTGGCCCAGTGATAATGTGTTATTTTTATATGTTAGGCTTCTGCCATTGGGAAGTGATCTGATCCTTGTTAGAAATACTGTTTGAAACAATTAGTTTTGGGAGCATTAAAATGCATTGAGTGGTTTTGATTGTTTTTTTTTTCCAAATTCAATTATATAGTTTTGCATTTATAACCGTTATATCACGTGGAAAGCAAGTAGGTGTAGTTTATATATCTCTAAACCATACAATTAAAATACCAGTTACAAAAGACATTTCAATTGTCAAGGTCGGTAGTGAGCAGTCATTTGAACATTTCACATTACCTTGTTATGTTGTCAAGCAGTCTTACATTTTTATTTTAAAGATAATAGGTTTTAAGCCGTTCTTTTGCAAATGGTACACTATATTCTAATTTTGGGCTTCTTAATACAGGTCTGCACTAAATACTGTTTTTATAATGAAAAATACATGCCTCTTACCTACTCAGTGCTGTTGCACCGCAAGATGGTGCAGCAGCACACAATTACCTCGATATCAATGCACAGCCAGGACGAATTTGTGAACAGAAGATAAGATAAAAAATAATATTTTATACACGTGTTTTCAACCTTTTCTCAAAATCCGGAAAGAGTCATCGAACTGAAGGTGTCTCAATCAATTTAAGTTTAACGCGGAATTGTGGTCACCTCAGCAACAGTATACAGTATAATCTCTTCTGCACTATGTTGATAGAAGTTTTTCTGCCGAATGCCGCTTCACCGATTGCCCCTTCATAGAAATTGTCACCGTAACTGATTTGATATACTACAACATATATGTTTTTAATTATAATTATGATGATAATCATTGTTTCAGTTTTTTGTAGCTGTTCTAATCACGAAACTTCCTTTTAAACCAAAATTCATATCAAAAGCGAGAGCTGCAGATGTTTTGCAAGCTACCGTCTCTCTGCTAGACAAGTGAAATAGGACGTGGGCATTCTGCAAAAACGAGGTTATTTGAGCGTTAGTTTACGTGCTAAATAAATTAAAATCTGTGTATTTTAAGAAAATATGGTTATTGGAAAAGTATACGTTGTTATGTTTTATTTTACACCAGCGTTAACTGTTTTCATGTCAGTCTAAGTTGCATATTCTTTGCTTACAACAGCATAGATTTTAGCATAAAGTATCATCCATCGTTAAGTATAGCTGTTACACAAGTGAAGAGCTCACAAACGGTTTCTGCTGTATGCATGAAAAGCTATTCACCTGGTATGGACTGTTTGGCTCTGCAGTTCAATGCCACCACAAGCAGACCAAGCAGAGGCAGAAGGATGGCTGTGGCCCCAGACATCATCTCCGGAGTTACATCAGTGATGTTGTGTGAGACTGGATTCTGCATCTTCACCATCACGTTATCCAAGGGTACCTGTTTCATGTTCCAATTAATGTATGAGAAAGATGTGCTGCCACACCAACACTGCTTTCGCCAAGAATTAATATGTCAATCTGTAGCCTGAGTTCAGCACCTCTGTAGCCGGCTTTCCTTATATACTAACAGAATTGGTTATTAGACAGGTCAGGGTGATTTAAAAGTCAAAATAAAAAAGATAGTTTATTTCTATTTCTAAAAACAATCCTGGAGTAACCTTGGTATTAAGTGCCGTTGACTTACCCACAACACTGTTCTTTTTTCATCTTTGTCCTTGAAGATCAAATAGTGACGTCGAGTTGGTACACAATGTTAAATGTACAACCAAAACATACAGACATGAAAGCTTTTGAATCTGATTCCTAACGTGTCGTTGTTACAGCTGTTTGAGTGATGGTTTCCAGTATTCACTTTTCGGTGGAGACTAAACTTAATTTTCTTATAATTTACTGAATTATCAGGGTTAGAACACCCATTCCCTATGATTAAGCTTCCTTGTCAGCTTTGACACACCTGTTCAGTTTTTTCTTCCGTCAAGAGGCTGCCTTAATAGTCTGGGAGATTTTCCTTCACAATATAAGAATACACTTTCTGACTCCATTGTTGACTAAAGCAATGGTTCGAATTATTCTGCAAATGTTGTTATGTTCAGTATATATATGTTTTGTTTTGGACATCTTTTAATTTTATCCTTCAGGTTAGGTCTTTGTCAGGAGATGGAAAGGAATATTATTGATAAAACAGCATGTTCAAAGTAGAGAAGAGCTTGTTTAAGCACTGTTTAGCAGTGAAGGAAATGCTCCACATTTAAAACCTCTCTAAAACATCATAAAAAAACGTGTAAAAGCACATGACTCCCAGAATCTGATCATCTGAATTATGGAAAAAGAGGTTCAAGTATTCAATGTCACCTAATGGCTGTTGAATCCATGTTGGAAAAAACACAAGAAACCTGCTGATACTTGTTTAGATATATCAACCACATGTTGCTGGAATGTGTTAATTCACTTTTAATTTCCTTCTCTTGTTTAGCACCATTTCTGTCAAAAATACAATAATTATGTCCTAGTTTATTTTCAAATAAATTCATATGAAACTGCAGTTTAATATCATTAAAAAGATGTCTAATTAAATACAAATCTGTAATCTTTTGAATTGTCAATATCAAATAAATTCTATAAGGATTCATCTGCATCCAGTATTTGGATTGATTCCTTAGAAATATTTTGCCAGCTTTCTAAACTAATTTTGTTCAGTAAGACATGACAATATTTACTTTGACACAAAGTTTGTCTTAAAGATAACCCCACCTTCAGGAAAAGTAAACTTAAAAAATATTTTATTTAATTATTTCCATTAATAATCCCTAAAATATACTTTAGAAATGAGAAATTTTCTAATATCCACTGTAAATAAGGCAGACGTAAACACTTATAATTTAATTTAGATTAAAGAGTTGAAAAGTACATACCGTCTCTTGGTGTCAGGTGGCTGTTCAAATAGAGAATATCTTTGACTGTTTTGCAGCAGGTATTTATATCTCTTCAGTTCTTTTCCTTATCAATGACCATTTTCTTTTTTTAAATCCCTTTTCTTCTTTCTTTTATTACACGGTGTATAGCTGCTAATTTACTCGTTGCCTAGATACAGCTGTAGATTTTGGGTACAAGTGCCATTACCAGTAGAAATCTCCCAAATTTTGCACCAAAGCCTCTTCAGATTGAACAATGATGCAGTGATGCAGAACCAAGTAGGACAAAAAAACAGCTTTCTAGAAAAGAGTTTAGAAATTAGATTTCAGAAGGATGAATGCTGTTTCTTAATTTTTAGTGATGGGCGTACCTCACTGCTGGATTTGTATAAAAAAAAACAAGCCAATCCAATAAAGAAAGGTGGAGAAACAATTCAGGTCAGTTTTATCCAGCAAATCCTGAGTGAACTATGGCACATGAATGTATGAAAGTTCTCAGACCATTAAGTAAAAATGTAGTCTACTCAACAAAAAGTGTGCTCAATATGGAACTGCTTTTCACCATGTAGATTCTTTACACTAGTTTATGGTAGAAAAAATAAAGGGCTCCTGCTTGCTGAAATCACTCTCAACCATTTTTACATCACCCACCCTAAAATAAAAAGGAAGAGAAAAAGGAAGAGAAGAGTAAGGTGTATAATATTGTTCCTCATTCCACAGCTAAATCAAAAGAAAATCTATTTTAAAAGAAAGACACAATGAAATAGGGGGAAAAAGTGTATTCCCAAAGCTTTCAAAGTGCTACTTTTCAAGTGGTCTTTTATGGGATCATACATAAGTGTGGTCCACAAAGCTTCATTACTTGAATGTTTTGCAGTATGATGGAATTTATATACACTATAAGTGATGCATTGATTATACATAAGATCTTGCAAATTGACCCTAGCTCTTTGTAGATGTTCCAAAACTGTATGTCATGATTCTGTAAATATAGGGGCTTGTCAATACTGGAGTGACGATCTGACACCAGTTGTAAGGCTGATTTTAAAAACCCTTTAATGTAATTGTGAATTAATTCAGGTGGATAGCTGCGTCAGCATGCGTAGTCTGCAAAGGAACAAGTAATACTGTAGGTTTATTCCATGCTGAAAAGAGAGGAGAGAAAACACAATGTTTGGGCTGTGAAGCCTTCTTCAGGTGTGCCTGAAACACAGCCAAAACAGCATGGAATAAACCTATTACTTGTTCCATTGTGAATTAATGAATGAGATTGCATCTTTGAGGACAGAAAAACAGAACATGGCTTTACTCTGATACCGGTACAATTGGCGATTCTGGTAAATGCATACACACTGTTGTAGCTTGAGTCATCCTGAATACAAACAAAGCAATCCATGGCGATGAATGTCAGCAGAAAGTTTAGATTTTGTTTATAGTACAATTTTCTAGCCCCAAACCCCATTCCCTTCACTCCCCCTTAGTTGTTGTTGTGCTAAATTGTGACATTTTACTGTGGTAGGTTATTCTTAAGCTCTACACTTTCAAAGGCAGCATTTAATTGAACATGTATTTGCTAAGTGAGGCGTGATCTAATTTAGGTGCTCAGACGGGCCGATCTGGAGCAGTTGTTTAAGAACATATATTTCTTGCTGACAAAAGCCAGATAAAGGCCTAGTTAACTGGTAAATATTGTACGGTATAATGAGTTGGTGCTTAAGGTCATACTGCTTTGAGTAGCTGGCGCACAGCTAAAGAAGGTTTTGGCTTAACGCTGGTCCAGGTTTTTGTGGAAACAAACAAAAGAATCCGAGACAAATGTTGTAGTCCACAGAGTGTTTTGTTGTAGCCAAGGAAACAGGCCTGCTAGTCTCTCTGAATACTAAGCCTGCTTGCTTGAGTTATGAACATGATGCAGCTGATGCTAATGTGCACCTTAGTATTTTTCTTACACAGCCATTACACAAACCTGCCTCCTGTTCAAAGGTTATTTAGCCTTGATTGCAATAACTATAGTGTACATGTTTTCTAGCAGACAGCTTATACAAAAACTTCAAATCCCATTTTATTTGGTAAGACAGTAAAACCATACCATGTTATTTCATGTATGTAATATATTCCCCAAATACCTATTAAGCCTGCTGTGAAAAGATGGACAATAAGAGATATAATTCTCCTTCAAATTCAAACACATGAAATATATTGTTTAGTTTAGATTGAAAAGACAGCATCATGGGTTAAAGAACTGGATCATTTGTAATTTATTCTGAACAGTACTGCTCATGTATTAAGTGTACACTTGGGTCTAACATTAGTAAGTTTAACTCCGATATTGTTGTAAATCAAATTGTTGGTTAAAAAGCTTGAAAAATACATAGTGTAAAACCGCAATCTGTCCAAGATTTCTAGAAATACAACACGTATTGGTGTTCTTTACTCTATGTATATCACAGTAAAATATATGGGGACATGGTGGTGCAGTGGTTAGAACTGCTCTTCACAGCACTGGGACAGGAATCATTTGAAAACTTCTTGATGGCACTGAAATGAAGGTCCTCAATTTAAGTGAATCCTAGCTAAATGCAACAAAATGAATCTTCCTTTTCTCTCCATAAATACAAACAGATGGGAAAGAGATGCACCACAAGGAAATAAGCATTTCATTAATATGCATTTCCTGCTTTTTATATGTTTAATACATATATTGAGCACATTAATACCATATATTTGTGCAAAGTACATTCCTATTTACAATATAGCGGGGTCCTATTTTTTCCTTTTTTCGAACATTCATCCATTTTCTAACTGCTTCATCTAATTCAGGGTTCTGGAGGAGGCTATGCCAACAAGCAAAAATCATAAGGTGGGGCACCCCCTGGACAGGGTACCAGTCCATTGCAGGGCACACATACTGTACAGGCAGACATGCAAACACATCCATTTTTGCCCATTTTCTCAGAAGCCAGTTGACCTACTGTAGCAGTAAGTCTTTTGACCCTGTAAGGGAACTGGAGCACCCTGAGGAAACCCCTGCAGACATGGGGGGAACAGACAAACTCCACACAGATAGCAAGCCAAATCTGGGACCGACCCCAGGGCCCCACTTCAGCTGTGTGGTCTTGCCAATAAAAAATGCTTCTTACTGTGTCTAGATCCTGTCCTTGTCTCTGGCAGCTCTCTAATTGCAACCTGTTGCAGATCATGCCAGTAGATGGCAGAGCTGATTAATGAACCCTGTTATAATGTATTGCATGAAACCACCGGTTAAGTGGATTGTTTACGTTTTGAGAAGCTTTCTGTGTGGTGAAATATACATACAGTACTGTAAGTAACAGCTTCATTAAATAATCTCTTATTCTCTCTGGCCTGGTGTTTTGAGTAAAATATCATGAACGGCTAGCTAGCCTCCAGCTCAGGTAGCTATGCCTTTCCACTCCCTATAGAAGTACAGTGGTACTGATATTCTATTAGTTTGTGTGTATATGGTGGTGTAATTCTACATGATCGAGGTCCTGAATTTCTAGAACAGGAACAATATGATATTTTTTCCTTTCATCCAAAATTACTTCTGTTTAATAGAGATTTTAAGAGAAAGTTTGGGAGAAGGACAAGCTAGAACCTAGTCCACATTCACCCCTTTCAACCCATCTTCATCCTTACAGCAGCTCCCTGACTCATTCCTCAGGAAGTTGGGGAGTGTCCAGTCAGTTTTGACATTACAGTCAGGTGATACCTCAGCCTTATGACTTATACCAAATAAATATTAAACAAGCCATCCCTATAATCTCAATTGCCTTGTCATATTAATTTGTGTCTGACCAAACTACTGAGTATCCATTTGGAGTAATTTGACAAATACACAACTCCTAGTGCCCCATCTAGGATTTGAGCCAGCAACCATCCAGTTGTTTAGAGCCATAACCAGTAATCCCCTGTGGCTAATAATTGGGTACCATATAATTGGATAGCTCATTTCATTCTGTTTGTCTGTGCTGTCTGTAACTGCCAATACGTGCCATACATTTTGTTAAAGAGTACAAGTAAAATGAAAAGTTAATTTAGCTTACAAGGGCTATAATGTGGCTGAGTACTTTCCACCAAGAACCATCAACTGAACCACCAATTATCTTATAGTATTTGATTGCATTTGTCTATTCTGTCATATCTGCTGTATATTAACTCTTTAATTAGGGATACAAGACTCTTGATGGACTATGTTAATGTTGTTATTATTATTATTATTATTTACAGTAGCCTTTTGTATAAGAAGAATATCTGTGCATTATTTAAACAATATGAATAACTTTGTGAATTCACTTAACGCCTACATTCCTGACAAAAGAATTTGTAGCACTCAATTGGGTATCTTTGTAATGAACAGCAACTAACATAATGGCGTCTGTATGATTTCAAGCGCACAAATTCTTTGGCATGAATTAGCAGCCAGTCAGTGCTTGCTGGTATGCTCCAGCAATGGCTCACTCTCAGTGTGTTCCCACACAAGGAGCCGGTGACTAAAATCTCAGCTTGTGATTAATGTGCTCCTGCATCTTAATAAACATTGCTCCTCAGCAGTCTGTTACTTGGTGAAAGAGTGTCTTGTCTTGAGTCAAAGCAAGTTTGTCTTTTATTTTGGTATGTTTTAGAGAAAAAAAACCTTTTAGCAATAGTAAGACTGGCAATATCTGTCACTATTATTTTCAGAGGACTAGCATGACATCAGCTACAGACATCATCATCAGTGGAAGTAACTTCAATTAACACCATTTTCTCACAGAAAAACATTAATTAATTAATTGTCTTATGTAACATAAAGAGTATAAAGGACAGCATACAGAATCCATGTACCAGAGTTTGTGTCCTCTTAAAGTTTATAATCCACTGGGTGGCAATTGAAATGTCTATTTTTGTCTACAAGTCTTTAGGAAAAGAGGCACTCATTGACAAAGTGAAAATGGCACAGCAGATTAGATGAAAAGAGGGAACAGAGTCATTTTGGTATCTTTAGACGAATTCTGGAATGAGTATTCTCAGAAAGGGCCTCTCGACAAAAGAAGACATCTTTAATTCATTATATATTGTAAAGACTTCTAGTTCCCACAAAATGAAACTTAGAAACCACAATAAGACCATTGTGTTGCCATATGAACTCTGAACACTCATTCCTGAGTTATGTAATTTACTTTTACCAGTCTACTGTATTCATAAAATAAAAACAATTGGCAGCAAAGTTTATATTTTTCT